CAGAAGTGAGCAGATGAAATTGAATAGACGTGGGGCTCCCCTGAGTGGGCAGGCAGGGCCCCCGGCTGAGATCCTGACCCTGAAGCCTTGAGCTACCTGCATGCAGCCCATGACACGGATCCTGGAACTTGGGCAGTACCCCTGGCCATTAATATATTTGCTCTTTATTTAGACAATGGTTATATAGAAGGGAAGGAGCTTGACGATTTTTTTCATCATCTCCTGGAGAAACTGGGACCAGAAGTAAGTAACTGTGCCGCATTCAGTGCCCATCAGGTGCAAGCAGAAAAGTTATGCTGAGAGGTGGTTTGTGTTTGTTGTTCCCTGATTGCCAACTTCCTCAGCAGTCCCAAGGTAAAAAGCTTTTCTCTTGGCAACGAGGTGGCATTTAAGCACGTACAACAAGTGCAGTCAGCTGAGCAGTTTGATCAGTTGTTTTCAGCCCAACAGCTGCTGGTCAGGGGGAGATCACAGGTGGCACCAGCTGAAGGGGCTGGTTGGCAGTGTGGAGAGAAAGTCATTTACTGTTGCTGAATAGAACCAAGTGAAAAAGCATGGGCACATAGCCTGGCTAGCTGAGCAGGAGGGCAATGTTCATGGTTTATTTGTTCAAGCCTGTGGTGATTAGTTTTGTTCATATGTTAGGTTGCTTTCCCAGGTCAATTTTTAACAATTATACTGTTGTTAATTTTAAACGTCGCTTAGGAAGAAGGCTTAGGTCTATATTGCCGCAAATGGCTAAAAGCCAAATGAGCATCGATTCTGTTGCTTCTAAGATCAAGACCTGGCTCTACAGTGTTTCTGGGCTTCTCCTCCTTTCCTGGTTTTGGCAGCATTTCCTCTCTCCCATTGTCTGCATCTCTGTACAAACAGAAGTTGCACTACAGTTTATAGGGGCAGCTTTCCTCAGCTCCAGGTCATACCTTGCCTATGAGTGTCACCATCATTGAAGGAGAAATCCTGCCACTCAGGCCAGCACAGAAGTTTACAAAGGATATAGTAATATTTTCACTACACAGAGTCTGCCCAGATAGGGAAAGGAGGAAACATCTTCCAAATGGAAGGAGGGGGTGTGCCAAAAACCTTTGCTTCCTTTAAGCAAAAATTAATTAACAAAGACAGAAAAGGTAGCTGATAAAAGGCATAAATTCATGAGTATCAAGTGTAAAATCAGAATTGTACTTACAAGCCAATTAATACTCTTAGATCTTTAGAGCTGCAATTAAAAAAAATAGAAGCTGTGAGTAATTTTTTCAAGCATATTTTTATTTAATTTGTGAGTAAATTTGGATTGAAATATTGTTAGTTTCTGCAGAAATGTCTTTCAGAGCATGGATGGTTAGATGAAGAGATAGGCATGTAAAAAGGCTTCAAATGAATCAAAAAAGATTCAGCAACAAGAGTATTTAGGGACACAGAAAAGCTGATGTAAAGAGAAATCAGAAAGTTTGTGATTTTTTATCCAGGAACAAAAGATTAAATTGGAAGCTGCTAGTCTTGGGGTACTGAAACAGCAGCAAAAAGCATGCTCAAAGAAACTCCATGACAGCAAACATGAGATGTTGAAGGAGATGCTTAAAATGAAGCTGCAGAGCTTAGTGCTGCAGTGGGACCTCCAAGTGGGGCTCTCTGGAGTGAGCTGATGGTGATAAAATCCAGGGATAATCAGAGATCTCATTCTGAAGGGAGCTTCCTAAGGATTTGAGTCAAGAGAAACTCCAAGCCCTGCTCTAGTCCATAGCTGTCCTTGTGCATCCCTCACAAGGGGTCTTGGGACAGCTGAGTAGCAAACCCCGCGTGTTACAGCAGTTTTTGTGGTCTTACTGATACAAACATGAACTCCATTACATTGTGTCCTTTATCAGCATGCAGAAGAACTTGCAAAATGAGGGTGTTCTGTCAATGAACTTCCTGCTTTAAGAAATCAGTAATAGTTTTATTGCTTGTTAGAAGTCCCTGCTTGGATGACTCCAGCTTAACTCAGCACCCTGACCCAGTTTGCATCTGCTTTGCTTCTGCTAGCCAAGTTTTGCCATTAAAAGAGATAGTTTAACACAAATTGAATGGAGAAAGAACCAACTCCCTCTCCTCCTATTGAATAGAAGAAACAGGCTAATTCTGAAGGACCGTGCTCACTAACTTTCAGAGTGCTCAGACAGGCTCTCAAGTGCTTTTGGTTTTTTCCCTCTAGTCTTCTTCCCTATTTTTGGCAGTGTTTCCACTCTGGTAATATTAGTGATAAAATCACATGGCAGGCTGCAGGCACAGCAGGCTGTCTTTGTGGCAGAAAACCCAAGGGGAGCTTTGTCCTGGGAGGCAGAGAGCAGTCCTTTGCCCACTCCTCTGGGCATGGGGATCACTTGAGCACCAAGTTAAACAAAGGTCTTAACTACCTTCGTACAATGAGTTTGTCTAACAACATTGAGCCATTTTTCTCTTTTTCACATGATTTTTATTGTACAGGCTTGTGTTATGGCAGGAGGGGTAAAGGGTTCCCTCTGCATTGGTTTTACCATCCTACAGAAAGTGTCCTCTGTGATAAAAGCAGTGAGCTGGGACTGAGCATCTCTCTGCTCTACCACTCATCTTGACCTTTACTCCTTTGGCTTCTTAATGTCTTAGTTTCCTTGCACAGTAAAAGGAGGAGACAGCAATACACTGGCACAACTTAAAGATGTGTCACAAGAATTAATTAGTGACTGTGTTTGAAGCGCTACACAAGTGATAAATAATGTTATCAGCGCTAGAAGTTGTCTCTGCTTGAATAGAGAATGGCTTCATAATTATATTTTCTCAGCCTGCATTCTCTAAGCTGTTATTTTTCTTAATGACCACTGTGGTCCTTCAGCTCTGTTTTTCTTCCCAGTTACTCTGCAGCATCCCCAGCTGACACTAAATGCCAGGGGATGGGAGCAGCTGGGAAAACAATGCAAAAATGAGCCTGTCGGGAAGCTGAGAGACACAGCTCTTCCTGACAACTCTGAGAGAAGAAAGAAACTTGAAACAGCATCCAGTGATGGAAGCCAATTTATTGTCTTTTATTGAACCATCAGCAATTGTGGGGGGAAAGGAAAAACTTTGCAAAAAGGGTAGACTTGTAGTAAACCAACCAAATCCCAGATGCTGCTTCCTGTCCCTTCTCCTCCAGCAGTGGGTGATTGCTGGAGGCATTTGGACAATCCATTTAACAACACTCTTTAACTTTTGTCTGGCCCCAAAGTGGTCAGACAATTGGACTAGATGTTTGTTGTAGGTCCCTTCCAACTGGAATATTCTATTCTATTCCTATTCCTATTCCAGTCCTAAGAAAATCCCTTCAGTTTCCAGGTGTGTGTAATTCATCCTCATGCCAGCAGTACATCTTCTAGCTGCTGGCACTATTCACCTGTTTCTCTAATCACTGCTATGACTTCTCTCCAACCATTTGAGCCTCCAACTTCCAAGCTGCTACTGCATGGCTGCCGTGAGACAGCTGAGCTCTCTTCTGCTCTTTCATAAACCTCTTTCTTCTACATTATGGCAACTCTATCCATATATTTTCTAAAAATTTTTTTACTGAGGTGAAAGACCAGTGGACAGTTTCTTTCAGTGTCAAATAAGTAATTTTATTAGAACAGGAACTATAGCTTCTTCATTTCTGTCTTATATTCCTGTACATCTTTCTTTCTGTATCAAGATCTTCCTTGCTTGCTCTTTTCTATGGTTCTAATGAAGCTCTATGTATATTCTCATAATAATAAGAGAAGAGTTTTATAGAGAAATGGCTACAAATTTTGGGGTTGGTTTACTGAAAGTTTCCATAAAACCAATGATGTCTGGGCAGATATGGAGAGAAATGCACATTGCCATTGGGCTTTCTCAGAAATGTATTTCACTTTGCCTAAATTATACTCAAATTAGATAGAAAACTTTCAGATAAAGGATGGTTGCCTGCACCTAACTGTAAGTGTGTAGAAGACCACAACAATTGCTGAAGTATAGATTTGATCAGACAAGACAGGTATTAGTTGTGTTTAAATCCCTCCTGCCTAAAAACCACATGGATAGTTATGACTGTAAGGGACTGAAGTTAATCCTCTGGAGCTCACTCTGAGCAGCCATTAGGGATTTGTCTTTGCTTTTTACTTCCAAAGAATAGAAACACCCTCCAGCTACTCTTGCACTTCATTCTTGCCCTGCACACTGCATTGTCTGTCTAAATAATGTGTATAATTTAGCATGGCCAGGAATGCAACAGCTAGTCAAACAAAGTTTAATGGCCAAAATATCAGCCAGCCTCAAAGCCATCCAAGGCAGACTTCCCCTGTGCTTTACCCCCCCAAAAGACCTAAGGTCAATGGTGACCAGCAGGTGTACAGCAAGAAGATCCCTAGCAGGAAGCAATCAGCTTGCATCCACATTCAGAATATTTCAGAATTCTAACCCCCAGACAATCATGGCTCTTTAAATATTAGGACAGAATTCTTTCCTGTCAGGATGGAGAGGCTCTCGAACAGGTTGCCCAAGGAAGCTGTGGATGCCCCATCCCTGGAAGTGTTCAGGCTGGATGGAGCTTTGAGCAACCTGGTCTAGGGAAAGATGTTGGAACTGGATGATCTTTGAGGTTCCTTTCAGCACAAACCATTCTATCATTCTGATTATTGCCAAATAGAGTTCTTTCTTTATGTGTGGCTTCCATCAGCCTTGATTACCCTGGCCAGCTCCTAATCCTGTTCCTCCACATTAAGGCATGGAAGTGCCTCGAGGTATTTCTTAATGCTAACTCAACATACCCATGGTAAAAATGACACAATATGTTTTCATCACTCAAATACACATCAAACAACTTTCAGCCCAGCAGAGAGGAGAGAACAGAGAACCTGTCCAAAACCTAACCACAAAACCATGATGGCACAGGGAAAATGTAGCCAGTAACCTTTGTTGGATGCTGGTGTCTACTATGGGAAAAAAGCTTTCCCACATTTGTGCTGACGAGAGTTAGAAAAGAAACCAAAAATACAATGCGGGATGACAGGGTAAGTGCTCATCTATTGTCACATGCAGGAGAACAGTAAATCCTAACCAAAGTACAGGGCCAAATTCTCAAGTGATAGCACTGAAGTTAAGGGAGAAAGATTGGCCCAAAGGGGAAATTGGCCGTGGAGATGTAAGGCGAAAATCCACAATTATGCAGGCAATCCAAACTACAACTACACGGGGGTAACAAAGTCATTCATGAAATTAGTTTTTACAATGAAGAAATGTTTGGCCCAAAAATGAAAGGTTCTTGTTCTAAAGTCAAAGTGTACATTACTGATGTCTCTCATCTGGTCCTTGCTGGCCTCATATCTGTACTGTGTAGCTTTTGGCGTGATAATAGTTGTTGATTTTCTTTTCCAGCTCTCCTTCTTGGCAGACACAATTTATTTTCATAGGTCTTGTAGGAACTCTATATCTGTGGGACCCTTGGCCTTTCTATCATATTTGGCTGAAACACTAGAAGATGTGTGTTCAAGCCAGCATTTTCAGAAAATTCTCTAGGTTTTTTTCTAGAAACAGGGCATAATAGTCACTTAAATGTAGTTTCATCTTTTTTTATACCCTAATCAATATAGCAGCTTGCTTCTAAAATCATGTCAAGAAGGAAAAATAAATCAGTTTATTACAGGACTTTTTTGACCAGCAGGAATTAAATGAGACATCCCATTTCATTGAGTAGGAAAGGCTCTGCAGTGCTCCATACATTCACTTTTTGCCCTCCAAACCAAGTGACTCATAACTGTGTTTTCATCAAGGCAAAATTCTGCCAAGCACATTAATCCCTTAAGGAACAAAAATTTAATTAGTCAGCATGAGGCAAAGAGTGCAACAATATAAAAGGAATGGATTAACAAAGAAGACAGATTACAGCCAGGTTTCTAAACAATCATAACCAGCCATGACAAAGAAATAAAATGCTGCAGAAATTTGAAAAAAAAGTGATCATGCCCTTTCTGTGATTACAAACACTACTAAAAACCAGATTACCTTTGTGATGCTACAAATACTTCTAAAGGGTTTTCACAAAAGAGAAGATGGAGACTGGACATGGAAAGGAGAAAACAGAAAATTCATTCATTATGGTAACTTGAAGCACAGAAGCTTTTCTCTGTTAAACTCTGTGGAAGAACATCCGTAGTAAGAAATTTACCTGTTAACCCTGAAAAATATGTGAGCAAAGTCATGGCAATATTTTAAACTGTTCTCTTATGAGAATAAAAATTATCCAGCCTTCTCATGGTAAGTAGTAAAGATTTCTTTCCTGGCTGCAGTGAGAATATGCAGCAGCCCTTGGAAACCACACATCATCCACAAACTCCGGTAGGTGCATGAACCAGGGAAACAAGGAATTACAAGAAAGACTTCTCTGTACAGAGTGACTGGAAAGAATGCAACAGCATTCACTTAAACCCTCACAGAAGAGAAAGCTTTGCAAACGTTTGAAACTGGTTAAGGGTCTGCTGCTTGAGGCAGGCAACATAATTAAGACAGCATTTTCTGATAAGGATGTGCTCAGCTACAGACTTATACTTACTGCAAAGCCATTTCCTCCTGTTTCATCTTATGAGACAAGAGGCACATTTTGTATGCCGTTCTTTGTTACGTCATGATTTAATGCAGCAGGCAGCCCCACACAGCCACTCACTCACTCACTCACTCACTTACTCCCCAGTGCAATGGGAGAGGAAATCAGAAAAGTGGGGAAACTCATGGGTTGAGATATTTTAATAGGTAAAGCAAAACCCAAGGGCACAAGCCAGGGCAAAATGAAGAATTCATTCACCAATTCCCATGGGGAGGCAGCTGTACAGCCATGTCTGGGAAAGCAAGTTTCCATCATGCTGACTTCAGAAGACAAACACCACACTCCAAACATCTTTTTTTTCTCCTTCTTCCCCCAACTTTATATGCTGAGCACCATACCATATGGTGTGGTATATCTTTTGGGTCAGTTGGGGTCAGCTGTCCTGGCTCTGTCCCCTTCTAAAGGGAAGCCTCAGGCTCCTTGCTGGTGGGGTGAGTTGAGTCTTCAGATCATGTCCTTGCTTGGACAAGGGGAACAGATCAGGTACATTATGGAGTTTCTCCAGCCTTTTAAATGTTTTTGGAGTAGAAAGGAAAATAGAGCAAGCTATTTGTTTGCACCACCAGTAGGTCAGTCTTGAAAACCTGATCTCCCAACCTTAGTTTCTGTTTGGAATATCTTGTTTGATCTCTTGGGGTTTTTTCAGTCTTCTGGGATATTTTTTTGGTAAAGAGAAAGGTCCCCTTTGAAACCTAATGGTCATAACACAAGGTGTATTGTTCTTAGTGTAAAAATTTTTAATATTGGAATAATTTTGTCTTGAACATGCATCTTGGGAAAGCCAGTTTGTGCTTCATTATTTTATCCTTTGTGAGTAAAGGCTGGGTTTTGGTAGAACTATTACCAGTTGTGTTTCATAAGTAGAATATTTATGAAAATGTAAAGATTGTCCAGATTGAAAAACCACTGTAGTGTAACCCCTTGAACTAAAAGCTTTTGGAGCTGTGTAAATATTGTAAATATTCCAGGCATTTACTTGATGTATCATATAGTTTAAATTAGAATATAAAAAGAAGGCTGTCCTATTTTTATGCAGGTAGCAGTGTCCCTGCCACAGATAGCTCAGTGAAATGGTGGTTAATAGCTGACACCAAGTTGAGCAATAAGCATTTTAACCAATGACTAGTTTGAAATGCACAGTATATGTTTCAAGTATCAGCTGTGATTCCAAAATGTGATTATCATTTTGGAAATAACTCATCCTCCTGGGTTTGAGGGAGGATCATTTCAGAGTACTTTGCAAGCCTGTTGAAGTTTGCAACTGATAGACTTGCCTAACTCCTGGGAGGTGTCTCAAAGTGTCAAGGGGCTGTCAGAAGGCAATTTAAATAGCATGTGGCTGAGCTATAATGCCAAGAGTAAAGAAAACCTGTGTGTGTACAGTGATGAGCTGTGCCCTCAACACCCAAGCCCACAGAACTTTCTGGACACCACCATGGGAAAGGAGGATCCTGCAGGCATGCCCTGGGACCTACTCAGCCACTCCTCCTGGGGCCTGCCACCTTGGGTGCATCCTGGTGGGAACACTGCTTGGTGTTTCATCCCCAGACTGGGAGCTGCCACCCTTGGTGTTACACAGCAAGAATGCACCCCAAAGGCTGCACTGCGTGGAGCTGTTCACTGGGTAAATTTGGGAAAGTTACTCATGGCTTTGTGTCACTGATAAAAAAGGGAGTGTACAACATTATGGAGCTTCAATAGCAGCTGGAAAGAATTAGAAACTGGGTTAGAAGACCCAGGAAGGAATAGCTGCAGTGCCACATCCACCTGGTTTTAGAGATGATAAAAACTTTGAAGGATTGGGAAGAAGGTAATTTATTGTCTTGTAAAAATTTCTACAAAGGTATGCCACAATCCAGTGTGGGTTATCCTTCTCCCTTCCTTCCCTCCCCTCCCAGAGAGGGCCAACTCCTACACAACTGGGAGAAAAGCCAGGACCTGCTCAGTGTCTATGGTGAGGGTAACATGGGACTTACTTGCTTGGGAAAGATAACTATGTGAGCTTCCCAGCCCAGCCACTAAGCTCATATGACTGGAAGCCTTTCCATGTTGTGAGGAAATTGTATTTTGTGTAGTCCATTCAGAGTGGGTACCCTCGTGGTTTCTGCTAAAGAAACCATGCCTGATGAACCTAAACATTGTATTTCACCTGTCACAGTGATGCCTGTCAAAACACATAACTTGGCAAGTCTGGAGAACTCCTCACTATGTATAAATCAATTATGGGGTTGAGCAGATACAAAGAGAATGTCAATTGCTTGAAATTCTGTGTTATTAACCCAGAAACACTGACAGGGCTTGGTGCCAGGGCTTAAATCAGCTGACAGGCAATAATAAGCAACAATCTAGCTCCACTGACACCTTTCAAGGCTGATGATCTAATGAACTGCAGAGATGTCATTCAAGGATGAGGATATCTTCCTGAAAAGCACAAGCTGAAAACAAGCAGGATGGAAACTGCTGTAACACACACTTGAGTAAAACCAAAGCCCAGTGATATAATGGGAACAGTTGGGTAAAGAAGCAGGAGTCACTGAAATATTTTGGGGTTTCCAAACACTGATCTTCCAACTGAAAGCTTAGTAGCTGCAAGGAAACGCATAGGACTTATTTCCAAAAATTCATCCACAATGGTGTGTCTGTGGGTTTTTAAAGGCATTACCCCCAACTGTAAGTATGCGGTGATCCTGGCGATTATTTGTGAGTGAGAAGAGATTTCTTCCAGAAGGATCTTCTGGTGCCCTCAGAAATTTTCATGCACTTGTTGTTTTCCCCATGGCAGAGCACCATCACAGAAGAAGAAGTTCAGAGGATGAAGGAGCAATTCATGTCTGTCTATGATGTCACCACAGATGGACGCTTGCAAATCCAGGAGGTATCTCTGCCAAGCACCAGACCAGGATTTCTTTTATAGGAGGATGGAGAATTAGAACAGACTTTTTGTAGTGTCTGTAGGAATAGGAAAAGGGGTAATGGTTTTAAACTGAAAGGGGGTAGATTAAGAGTAGATTAAGGAAGAGTTTTTTTAAATGAGCATGGTGAAGGACTGGAAGGGGGTGCCCAGGGAGCTGGTTGATGCCCCATCCCTGGAAACATCAAAGGTCAGGTTGGACGGAGCTCTGAGCAACCTGATCTAGTTGAAGATGTGCCTGCCATTGCAGGGAAGTTGGATTGGATGACCTTTAAAGGTCCCTTCCAACCCAAACCATTCTGTGATTAAGATCTGTAGCAGACTTGGGAGATCTGGAAGATAGAGTCTGGGTGCAGAGGAGGTGACTCACGGAGTATTACACCGGCCAGATCCTTTGGTCTGGAGTTTATTTCCAAGTTTATTTCTATGCCAAGCCTGTATTTCACATGCTGGATCCATAGCTACCCAAGTTTTTTCCCTTCCTTACCTTCATGGTTTGCTTTTTGTTGTGGGGACTTATTTTAAAATGTTTTTCATCCAGCTTGCAAATATGATGTTGCCGGATGATGAGAATTTCCTACTGCTTTTCCGACGGGAGACTCCCTTGGACAACAGCGTGGAATTCATGCGGGTCTGTATCTCCACACTGCCTTCTCCCCCTTGCCCACCACCAGTTTCTTCAGCACCAAACCTTCTGTCCCCTGTAAAACACAGCTTGGGAAATAGATGGGTATTGTGGAAGCAAAACACGTTCTCACCTGTTCAGGTAGAGAAGGTTTTACATTATTTACACCAGCTAAACAGAGATGTGGTATCTAGGACTGGACCAAGGGTACCCAGAGGCTCATTACATTTCACAAACACTCTCAGCCACCTATCAGTCATGCCACTACAGACAAAATGTAGAAACAAACAAAATTGCCCATCAATTCACCCCTTCAACTCCTCACCTGCACAGTATAGACCAAGACAGCAGAGCAGGTACATTTTAAGCACCATTTTATTCCAAAACATTAGACTGTTAGGGCATGGAGAGGAAACCTGCATAAGTTGGGTCAACAAGCCCATAGAACTTTGCCCAGTCTTCCTCTGATCTCTGCCCCTAAATATCACAACTGGGAATTTCAGTTGTTCCAAGATCTCATGTGGTTACTTTTATTTCAAGCTGGGGGCTTCTGCAGATCAATGGCCTGTTGTATATGGCCTTTGACTCAGAGCAATAAAAGAAGCTGCATATACAAATTAGGTAGGAAATGCAAAACAGTTTCTTAGAATTGTCTTCCTTTTATAGACAGTGTGTCTGCATTAAACATGTGGTAGCAGCATGTAGCATGTACAGCATCCAAGTGTGAGTAAGAGCTATTGTGTGAAAAGTTTATTTTATTTCATCTAAAATTAATTCAATGTTGGCTAATGCAACAACTTGCTCATTATGGAAGTTCTGCTTTGAATCTTTACAATTTATCACAGAGCAGATGAGTAACTGCAATATTTATGTGCTCACATCAATCTATCCCCGTTCAGATCTGGCGCAGTTACGATGCTGACAGCAGTGGATTTATTTCAGCTGGTGAACTCAAAGTAAGTTATTCTAACAAATCTCTTTGGGCTTGACCTACAGCTCACTGATGTCAATGGGAGCCTTTCCATCAGCTTTACCAATTTGCTGTCCTTTTGTGTGAGTGACAAATGGCATTTCTGGGTTGTTCAGAGCAAGTTTAGGACTTGTGCCTTCTGGCATGATCTCAGGGGCCCTGCCGGAGGGAGGATGGTTTGCTGTTGCCCTCCATGTCCTGCTTCCCCCTAGCCTTGTCCCATGACCCCAGTTGTCTTGGTGACCTGAAGCATCCAGTGATCCCCACAAGGCTTTGCACATGTGCATCTCCCTGAGCTAAACAGAGCCAAAGCCATTGTGTTTTATTAAGAGAATTTCTTCTCAATCTTCTCCTGTACATGCAGGTTTTCTGAACACTGATTTCTCATTAAAGCTCAGGCTATTGAGGCAAGAGCCTCAGAAACCATAACGCAACACTTTGAGCCAGCAATCACAAAAGTCCATCCCTGGGTTGCACATCATGTGCTGAAGTCTCAGTGTGTGGCTTCAGCCTATGTCCCTGCAGAGATGTAAGAGGAGGCTTGAGTGTTTTACTGAATGGTAAATATTTTGATTTGAGATCAATTAGCAAGTATTGCAGGACTTATGTTGTCTTTTGCTTATTTTGTGAGTATATTAGGACTCACTCCAGTATACCTATTCTGGGGAAATTTAGTTACTTTTTAATTTATTCAAAAAAACAACATGTTTCAGCTAAAAGAAATTGAACTTTGTCAAACTGAAGACACTAGTACTAACCAGGAATGTGAAACTAGATTTGTGTAACCCTGCTGAATTTGAATTTAATTTCCTACTGTTTTTTTCTGAATTTCCACTAGAGAGTAAAATTTCTCTCTTTTCTTACTACAGGATTTCTTGCGAGATCTCTTTTTGCAGCATAACAAGATGGTTGCTGAGGTGAAGCTGGAAGAATATACTGATACTATGGTACGAAAATATAGAATTAATGTTGTTTAGATCTGAGCACAGCCTAAAATCTCCTTTAGGGTCAATGTCTACAGGACCATAAAAGCCCTGCAAGGTGCTAAAAAGGTGTGTCAGAGATTCCTGGGGGGAGTTAGCACACACTGCTGCTAACAGTTTTTGCACTGGACATCAGCTTTGAATGCATTTGAAATAGTTTTGCTGAGAGTCAAACTATTTCCTGTGAGAAAAGAGCTCAACTACACCAAAGCAGGCTGAGCTCTAAACCCCTTTAAATAGAGGTGAGGTGCATCCTTCTTCAGGATATGTTCAGCCTCAGGCAGATCTCCAGCTCATTCACTTCCTCCTTCCCTCTCTTCCTCCTAGCAAATCCTTTTACTCCCAGGACATGCAGGTATTTGGCTTTTCTGCTCTCAAAGCCCAGCAAGACTTGCTGGCTCCCTGCTGCTTCCCTGAAAGACTGAGAGGTTGAAAGTTTCAATTCTCCACCTGATTTATCACAATATAGCTTTTATACTGCAATCAACAACATAGTATTTGGTGTAGGTTTAGCAACAGTCGCCTGGATTTCAGAGCAACTTATTATATCTAAACATCTAAAAACAAGAAGGGAAAAAAATCTCATTTCTGGATGTCATTCTCAAGGGTATAATTTGAATTCCACTAGCAGACATCTATCACTGCAATTTTCTAAATGGTTTTCAGATGGGACTGCGTTGTTTCTTGGCACAAAATCTGTGTTTGTACCTAAAACCAGTTTGATATGCAAGCAAACAAGAAGCTGCCCCCATATTTTGCAATACCACGTTATGTATGTGTGATGTGTATGTGCCCAGAAATGTGACCCTTTAGAGCAATGTGAGAAACTGTGCTGTTACAGAAGAGTGTATATTTTGTTTTTCATATTTATAAGACAGTGAAGAGAGAGGAATGCCAGCTGCAGAAATTATTTTCCAACTGGCAGACTTTGGAAACAAAAAAAAACCCCAGAAGTTACAGCTAAGACAAAAATATTTCTGGCAGCATTTGCTGGTGGCAAATATCTTTCATTCTGCTCCATTAAGGTTTCCATCCCTGGTGCTTAATCTCTGATCAGGTGCTGGGGAATAGGCGATCTGAAGCTTGTAGACAGTAGGTGGTTCGTTTCCACCAACTCATTTCCCTTCCCTTTAATTTCCCAAGAAAGATCTGTGATTCCGCTACCCCAGCACAGCCAGGTATCAGTGCAGCCCAAGGCTGAGAGCCAGGAGATCTGGTTTCTATTCCCATGGTTTCCTGTAGAAGGGCTTTGTATCTCCAGAGAGGCAGTTTAATCTCTATGTTGGAAGATAAGATTTGATATGGGAAAAGGGATGCTTTGTATATCTAGGGAAATCTATGATCTGAAATGCAAATCTGGCTCCTGAGGACAAAGATTTGCCAAGCTGCAATGCCAAAAGAATTAGGGATGTTAATAGTTATTAGAAAATGAGAATATGGCAGATGATTATTTTTTCCCTTGTAATTCTTTTCTTTAAGGTGAAGATCAAGGATGTTTATAAACACACCTGATCCCAAAAGCTAAGGCAAGGTGTGAAATTATCACTGGCATAATCTTATCCTATGATATCCTGGAATAAAATAGAGGATGTGAATTCTGTATATAACAGCAAATTATCCACATGGGCAGTATCCTGTAGCATCAGATACACTCCACAAATTATTGCACAGGAAGTTATCTGAAGTAAGAAGGAAAAATTCCAAGGAGGGAAGAAAGATTCAGCCTTGCATTTGCAGGGCTGGATTAAAGAGGGAAAAATGGCTCAAAGGTTTGATGTCAAGGCCCATGGTAATGGCAACCCTTCACTTCCTCTCTCTCCCTTCCCACAGGGAGTGAGGAGCTACTGGAGTGCAGAGTCCCACTGCCACTGGACTCTGCCACCAGTACCACAGTTTGGGATAAATGGATCAGTGGCCCATCCATTTTTTCCCTGACTCTGTTATATCTTTGACAACCAGCAGCAGTGATTCCTTTTCTGCAGATTGGACATACTTATATTTCTCTCTCCTATTGCTTTGCTCCCACCCTTTTATCTTTTTAGAGCACAAAATCCTTGGGAGCAGGACCTGTTTCTGCTGCACACAGCTACAGAATCTTGCAGGGTGGCCCATCTATTAAACTCAGGGCTTTCAAGGGCCAATGTAATTATTATTCAGTTGAAATAAGCTGTGTCCCAAGGAGCTGTAAACCCATCTGTCTCCACAGGAATATACAGATCTCTGCTCTATATTCTGTGTATGCACAGCTGGCTGCGAACATCTTAAGCAGCTACTGATATCCTGAGTGGACCCTAGGGCCTTCTGGAGATAGAGATAAAGGGGGAAAGGCAAAACTATAATTTAAAAGGAGCTAGCCTAGGCTTGAGGAAAAAAAATAAAAGCAGGATTTTATGGTTCTGTGCTGGGTATTTGCAGTTTGTGAGCAGATATCATATCAGCCAACCAGGGCATGTTAAATTCTTGCCCCTTGTGCTGCTATGAATGATCTCATATGACATTAAAAAAATATGCTGGGAAGAGGGAGAGAGTATTTCTTTTGGAAGAGATTGGTTGTCTCTGGAAAGGAACATCACTTTATCAGGTTGCTTAGCAGCTGCTTCTTAAGAGGCTATTCTGTTTCCTTGTGACCTTGACATCCTTTCTTCAGAGAACACTGGTATAGATCAGGGCTTTGATGAACAAGTGGTGAACTCCTATAAAGACAACAGGTAGTGAATACATCAGCGTTGCACAAACTCTGTGAGTCTGCTAAATCAAATCTCAAAGAGCACTAAAGCCACTGGGTGAAATCACAAAAGAACATTTGAGTTCTCAAGACTCCTAAAGGGGGAGCTGAACTGACAATGCTGTGTGAGGAAGTCCCTTTATAGGGGCTTTTTCTCCATGTTTTTTCTTCCATGCCTACATAGATACATATTTGTATTAATAGTCATTAACTGAGTGTGTATTAATAATTATTTACATGCACCCACTTGCAGTTCTTAGTCTTTGAACACAATCTGTGGGTTTGTTGCCTTCCCACAGGCAGTGACCAAGAACTGTTGGCAGGGAGCAAGTGCTTGGAGGTTGACATGAAGCCTGGTATTGCTCTGAACTTCCTGAGAAGAGGCCCCAGGGGTCCTGCAGTGTGTGTTTTGGGAGACAGAGTGAGCATAGCTGTAAATGGATGGAGGGTTTAAATAGTATGGTGAGAATTTTCTGCCTTCCTGAATTAAAAAAAGCCTTCCTGAATTAAAAAAAGGGAGAGATGAAGACTGGCCCCCTTGATACTTCATGATGAGGATTCTGTGTATGGTGACAGTAGAACAACCTTTTCAATCCCTCCCCCTCCCCTTGCCCCCAAGATCAAGCTGCTAGTAGGTTTATGGGTCCTGGTGAGGTTTCAGCTCAGAAATACCCATCTCACATATGCATTTGACAACAATTTTTAAGAGTGACAGATTCCATGATCTGTGTGTGCACACAGCTGTGCACTTAAGCAGAATATTGTAAATGCCGGGATATGAACTAGATTTGAGATATGATTTCTGATAGTCTGCAGCTTCCCAGATAGCAGCATGTTACTTCCAGTTTGTAATCCAAAAGTCTACAAGCTGCATGCAAGGCAAACTCATTTCTGAGTCAAACTTCAGCAATTTAAGTTGTTTATTCTGCTGAAACAGTCACATATGCAACACTGACATTCACTTTTTTCATTGCCTTATGTTGATAATGTCAGATGAAGCACAAAAAAATTCCTTTAGTCTGAGCATTATTATATCTCAGTAAAATGCAAAGGACAGTTCTTGTCCAGCCTGCATGCCATCTTTGCCCACCACATAGAGAGGCAATAATGTAAATGCAGTGACTAAGTATTGGTCATGAACTACAGCATTTGAAAGCTTGTAGATGGTGATGACTGAGGATGAAATATTAACCCCAGAGAAGTCAGAATAGATATTTTTCCCAGCTGTAATGACACCAGGGTTTTGCTGAGCTTATTTGCAAAGATTCTCCTGGGCACTGAGCTATGTGCCCTGAGTGCACAAGCCCACAGCTGAGGGCTCCTCATCTTCTCAGTGCAAAGGGAAAGAGGTTTTCTTCTCTCTGAGGATGGCTTATGTCCACATTTATGCACTGTGTACTACCTTTATTGTACATTGGGAGGATTTCCAGTGCTTTTGTGGCTACTGCCTGTCCCCTCTTCAAGGATAATGCAGAGTTTCAGTGTGGTCAGTTCCAAGTGAAAGTCTGTCTGTGTCCAGTGCTGATGCCAATGTACTCATGTGAGTAAATAAAAGCCAAAGCACAGAAAATTCAAGTGATTTAGACCCTTAACATCTTACTAGTCAAGGTAGCATATCTTTGGTAACAAGTCTCAACAAGAGGTGTAATAATGGAAAGACAAATATTTATTGTATTGACAAATAGTCTAAACAGAATTTATTATATTTGTGAACACACCAAGCAAACTTCCCAAAGTTCTAGAAATACCATAGGAGTTGAGTGTAGCCTACAAGATTGGTTCCCAAAGTGCAGTCTTTGCTCATTCCTTCTCCTCCTGGTAGTGGTCCATGCCTGCCTCTCTCCCAGGTGACTGAAAGGACCCACACAGCTGATGAACACAAATCTGCCTCCTGTGTCCCTTCTCAATTTAATGCCAGGGTGCTTTCACCTCCAGTTTTGCACCACACTTGCTGTGGCATAAGCCAAGGGAAGCAGAAAATCCTGTTTAAGCTCAAACATAATTTCTGAAGGTCAGAACCAAAAGAACTCAGGAGCCTGCAGGCTTCTGAACACCCCAACAGATAATGCCTTGGTCTCTTAGGAATCAAAACACTCTTAGAAATCCTGTGCTAAAGAACTTGTTTATGTGACACAGGTGGTCTGGCTGGGCAGGACACTGAGCTTTTGTCCTGAGGGTAACTTGCTGGCCACTGGACCCTACTGTCACTCTGCAAATGCCTTTGTGACCCCATCCTTCCCTAAAGAAAGAGACCATAGGCAGTCCTGCAGCTTGGGCTGATGCCTGTCTTTATACAGTCTCAATAACCTCTGCACTCCCTGGCCAACTTTTGTTTCAGCTGTTGGACATAGGTGCCCATGATATATACATTAAAATATATTTGTGAGAGTAGGAGGTCAAGTAAAACTGACTCTCTCAGTGTCCCACTTAATTACACAAAGAAAGAGAGCCAGAGAAGGTATGAAAACAGGTTTTATTGAGTCTGCTGATCACAGAACTATTTATTTTGGTTGTTTACTTCTTTCCTTATCTCTGTCATGGAAAATAATTCAGATTTATATTGCTCTTCAAAGAATGTGTGTGCCTGTCATACTGTGGTGTTTCAGTGGCCTTTAGAACACTGGACTAAGAAAGCAGAGATATTTCCTTTGCTGAATTAAAAGCTGACAGCAGTTTTGATTTTGCACTTTTAAAAAATAGAGATGTAACAACTTTTATTTGCAAACCAAGCTCTTACGTATTCTCTGTCTGTCTCAGAGTGCCACAGAGTACATTCAAACAAGCAGGGTGTGCCCTTGGTGCACTGCCATTAAAATGTCAGTGAATTAATTTGTGCAAACACTTTAAAACATGGAGTAGCTTGACAGTAACGGAAATGCATCATTTTATAAAGCATACTGCTAGATGCAACAGAGCTTTTAGTAAAATTGAGTGCTATTTAAACATGCCAGACCTTGTCCTTAACCACATTGTGATGTTTCATATCAGCCTGGCAGTGTAAATATACTTTTCATGAGTGTAAACTGAAAATCCATCAAATTTAACGTATCAAGATGGTGTGTGAGGCAAAAGTTTAAATTAGAAACAACCTCATCACCATTGCAATTATCTGCTTCTCCCATTATATATGCTTTGTCATATGGGGTGGCTACCTCTGTCATTCTTTGTGTACTCATGCACACAATTAGCAGATCAGATCAAACACACGCATGCTTGAAACTTGAAAGTTTGATTAAAAAACATTTCCCCAAGCTGTTCCCTGAGTAATGCAGCACATGACTGCCATGTAGTGAGTATGCATGAGCTCCACTTGTCCCAATAACAGGATTAGGTCTATCTTATTAGCTGTGGTACCTGAACTAATTCAGTGAACACTAGCCCTTCTTCCCTACATGTTTTCCATCTTTCATGTGTTAGTCACTGGGCAAGAATTAGCTTGGTGTAGCTCTTCCAGACAGACTTTTTTTCTTTCTATTGACTGGTATGGATGATCAAAATATTGCATGTGTTTGAAAATTGTATTCAGGGTAGTTGTGGCAGAAAAAGGACAAACAGAAAACACTAAGGTTCTCTCTTATAGAGCTGAGTGAAGGTCAGGGAGGGGAGTTGGTTAGCTGTAAATAGATGTGGTCAGTCACTGAAATTTCAATATCAAGCTGAAAGATAGGGTGTAGGAGAATGTTTCCTTCCATTAAGCAATCCACCAAGGAGTTTATTACCTCTCTATTAAATGTGTTTTACTGGGATCTGCACTGCTGCAGGTATATTGTGAAGGGTTTAGAAATTGGTAGGATTGAAAACCATACACTCACAAAATTGATAATGAAGCAGAAAGCCTTTCACATCTTAACCACCATCTCTCATCTAGTCTGTTTCATTAAGAGTGCACAAAACTCTCCCTGGTTATTTGCAGCTTCTGAAACCATGAAAATATGCTGCACCCACAAAGTAGGGCAGATGCAGGGCAGGTGGGACACATGAAGCCCCAAGGCAAGGACTGCCATGCTGGGATATTTATTTATTTATTTCCTGGAAAAGGACATGAGGCTGGAGATATCTCACTGGAAAAGAAACATGAGATTGGTCCCAGACAAGCCTATGTGAAATGAGAATTGTGCCCCAAGTCTGGCTCTTGGACAGGAAACCACCAGTTTGGGCCTGGTCCCATAAGCTTGTACGGAGACCAGGACATGGCGATCACAGAGTTGAACTTCTCCCAGAAACTCAGTGTTTGCTTTTCTGAGGTATCACAGAGAGAAAAACACATCTGAATTTGAAGTCTAGGCTGAAGCACTGAATTTTAGTCTCAAGACTGAGATGCAGCAGAAATGCAGCAGAAATGGTAGAAAATAAAACATGCTTTCAGGAGCTCAGAAACATGTGGGAGAATCCAAGTGAAGCACTAAGACTGCTAAAGGCAGTAAGTTTTGGTGTGTTTTGGTAAAGTTACTGTATTTTTGTTTGAACCAAAGACCAGTGCCTTCAGCCAGAGCTGCCCTGACCTGCAGCAGAGTTCCTGAGAGCCCTGTGTTTCCCACCAAAAGCTGTCCTTTTCCAGCAAATGCTGTTCTGTCTCACCCCACCAGCTGTACTGCTTTGTGGTGACCTACAGACCATGTGGGTAACTGATGCTCCTTGGTGGTCTAAACCAAAGGATTTAGACTGACATTTTCAAAAGCACTGAAGTTACTGTAGAGCCCAAGGACTATGGTATTCCCACCAGCCACATGCTGGTACTTTCTCTAGCCAGCTACATAGGGGTTGTCTCCATAAGCTTCCTTTAGGCAGCATATTTTTCAGCAATAATGAAAGCTGCATGTAGCAACGTCAACTGTGGTGGAAAGTGTGCCAAAGTGAAGTAGTAGGAGTATTTCTCCTCAAACAACAGACAAAACCAGGTTAGGAATTGATGTTCCATTTGGAGAGAGGCTTTTAAAATCTTATCTGGGCTTATTTATTTCTAGGAAGAATATTAATAATTTTTCTATGACCTGCAGAATAACTCCTTTATCAGCCAAGAACTGGAGGCTTGGGTTTATCTCTCTGATGGCAGGGGGAGGCTGTCATTGCAAGGACATTTCTCCTCTTGGTGGCACCAGCAAAGGCAGCTTCTGCTCCCATCCCTTCCTCTAGCCTTGTCCCACTGCTGCTCCAGCAGAGACCAGGGAAAAGTGCCATATGCTGTGGGAGATCTAATGGGGCAGGAAGCAGCATGGAAGAAGTTAGATCAGCTAACTTCTGAGGTAACAACTTGGACTGATGCATCCAGAGGGAAGTCCTCAGGATGGCCTGACAGCTTTACTTGTCTCCCCAGCTTTAGAGTGAAGGAAGATTCAGAAGCCTTTCCTTTGTCATTTAGTAGCTCTGCACAGAGCACATGTTTGGCAGAGACCATTTAAATGGGAAAATAACTTTCTTTGTGCTACTGAATACCCACATGGCTCTTGTGATGCCATTTTTCCAAATATCTCAATATGGGTCTTCAATCATACATAGGACTTTCATGCTGTCTTTCAATGGGAGGGAAAGTGAGCCCATACCAAATGCCTCTTCAAAAATTCCATCCAAACCTCACAAGTGTAAAATACTCAGAATAATGAATGGTATAGAGTCTGTTGCAGAATCTCAGTCTAAACGTGATACAATAAAGGGTTACCATGGACTTGCTGTCCTTGCTCCCCTTGACCAATGGGCAGGGAAGAGGCAGCACTGACAATATAGACAAAATCTCCCTGAGAAATGACAGCTCTCCAGATGCTACCTTTTGTCACATGATTATTAGTCTCTGCCCTGGCTCCACTGCTGAGAAGTGCTCAGGACATGCTGCCGGCTCCCATGCTATGTTCAGGCTGTGTCATAGGGGATAATCCTGTCCATCTGAGCTTTGTCAGATGGGGCTGGTCCAGGCCTTCTCCAGCAGCTGTGCCATGCACAAAAGATCTATAGTGAACCAATTACTCTGCACAACCACTAAACAAGCAAGTGTGATCTGTCAAAGTAAGATTAATGCATATTCCTTAGCTGAGTATTTGACAAAGAAAGGTAATCTGTCATAGTGAAATATTCATGTTCCCTCCACACACAATGTGGAGTATTTTAATTTTTTTTTCTAGAACTTTGAGCCATGACATATTCAGGTTTGCAACTCATTAAACATCCCCCCCACCCCTTTCTTTGTAACAGACCACTTTTGTGCCTTGAAGAGAAATGCAGAACCAAATACAGCAAATAAATAAATATATTTTTTTGTGATGGCTCATCAAAATTATGCTATTCAGTAAAAGAAAAGAACAAGTTTTGAATTCACATTTAACCTCTTGATGTTGGCCGTCTGATCTTCTTCCGAGTCTTAGTGCATTCTAGCAGCAGACCTTGAGCCAAGCAAGCCCCACAGCTTTAGTGGCGTAAAATCCTGACCTGAGTGCTGATTAGAAGGTGGCATTTCCACCTCAGCTGCTCAGAAGCCACAGCAACAGTCAAAGGTAAGGATGGAATCCAGGTGGAAGTGTTTAGAAATTTCTTCCTTTTCCTGGCTTTTTTATTTTTTTCAGGATCAGGGCAATGTCAGTATCTAATTTCTGAGGGTCTTTCCTACAGACCTGCTTTATCCCCATGTAAGGTGGGAAGGGAGCAGTACTGGTATTTGATTGCTTTGGGTTGTTGCTGTCAGAAAGCTGGTGGGTTTTGCTATTCCCTTGTGCCACCCTTGCACTTGGTGCTAGCACAGGATGCCATGCTGCCTGGGATTTGGGCAAGCACCCTGAGCAAGCAGAGGGAAGGGCACAGGGCAGAGCAAAATGTGTATTGACTTTTTTTTTTGTATGTGTGTTCTCCTTATGGCCCATCTGTTTTATCTCTGTCTTCTTGATTTATAGATGAAAATCTTTGACAAAAACAAAGATGGACGACTGGACCTGAATGACCTGGCAAGGTAGGATTTAATCATGTTGATGGGGTGTTTCAGCTCACAATGGTAGATCCACACAAGGTGATGCTCTCCCTCTTGGGATGTGCAGTTGAATTCTGCCTCCTTTTGAATTTGATCTGCTTTGATCCCACCTCTCCAACACATGGTTTCCAACCCATTCTCCATCTCAATAATCTGAGAATCTGGAGCCAGGGATAGGAGCAATGCCAGGATCTGTCTGTACAACATCAATGTGCTCTGGCATAATCAGAGGTGCTTCCCAGGAGGTGGAAAAGCAACAAGTGACTCTGTTTCTCCAAAAGAAGGATGACAATTCTTTCAACAGGGTCACAGACATGCATTTATTTTTCATCATTATGTGCAGCAGGGATTGCAAAGAATTTTTACTGCATTTTGAATAATGAAAGTGCCACCACAAAAGAGTTTGGCAGTGGCAGTAGGAAAGGATTTGGAGAGCCAAGGTGAGATGCTTGTGAATGAAGCTGGGATCCCAGTCATGGGCCTTTCTCTCTTTTCTGTCCTTGATACCTCAGAGGCTTTTAGATGATTTTCACCGCCTAGAGAGTATGCCTCTCTCTGTAAAACCATGTGCATAGGTTAGATAGGACTTTAAATTTGCAGATATAGTCTTAAAAGGCCAGTTTAGAGGATGAGGGGACAGAGGTGCTGGTTTGCCACTGTAACTCTGTGCTTCAAATCCCAACAAATGCCAGCACAAATAACTGCAGTGCATACAGCTGTTCCCTTTGATCATGAAATATCTGAGGAGAATCTGGGGCAGGATGGAGAATATCTAAAGGGGGTTGCTGTTACAATGTTCTCTTAAACACAGTTCCCTTTCAGGAACCAAGCCATCTGAGGCTCTCCTCTAGTCTGAAAACATTTTTTGGACTCCAAATCCCTCCATGTGCGGACACAGCTCTGCAATGCCCTGTGCCATGGGCTCTAAAAACCTCAGGGTTAGCAGAGAGTTGGAGAGAGAAAAGGGTTTATTAGTGCTTGACAGGCTTTAGGAGATGAAAAGAGAGGAATTCTGCCAGTCTTGGTGTACAGGCCAGTATTACTTTGTCCTTTACTTTTACAACCACCAAGTCCTCCCTCCAATAGAGAGCAATAAATCACTTTCTTTAATGCAGCACAGCAATCCAGTTACAAGGAATGATTGTCTATTAGCTCTTACTTCAGAAGCTGACACCCTCTGTTGTGCAGGACCACCAGAAATGCTCTGGGAGAAGCAATGGTGCTAATAGGCATGTCTGTAGTGAGCTAAAGGGCACCCTCTGTGCCCCATCAGACAGGGAGGAAGGCATGTGTTCCCACAACAGCCCACTGTAAATAATCCCACAGGCAATTCTCTCTTTTATAGGCCTTTAATCTAATATGCCTTTGCTTTGCAAACAAGGAGAGCTCAGAATAGTTTGTGTGCAGATGATAAAATTAAAAGATCATAATTAAAATCTCTCCATTTAGGATTCTGGCGCTCCAGGAAAATTTCCTTCTACAATTCAAGATGGATGTAAGTGGCACTAATTTTTGATACATTGATCCTGTCTCATTCAGGGCCCAAACTTGAAATTTTTGCTTTAATTTTTCATTTGTTTGTCCTCTCTGTATGCAGGCTTCCAGCACAGAAGAAAGGAGGAGAGATTTTGAGAAGATCTTTGCACACTACGATGTTGTGAGTCCCATGAGTCAGTTCATTCCCTTGTGGTTTGTAAATGACAGAGTTAGTGTGTGCTGCTGAGACTTCTTCCTCCTGCTGGGTGCTGCTGGAGTCACTGAGGAGCGGCAGCTGTGCCCAAGCCTGTGGCCCATGAGCCCAGCTGCCAGACCGGGAGGGGTAAAGTAGAGACAGAGGAGCAATGCTCAGAGATCTTGTGTCAAGGACCCATTTTGACTGTCTCCATTGCCATGGCCAGTGCTGCTGCATGAGCAGTTTTCCTGCAGGAGATGCAAGGGAGCAAGAGGTAGTGGGGGCTTTAGTGCTCACAGTCTCTGGCAGTTCAGGACCTGCATCACCACCACATTGAAAAATAAACCCCCTTTCCATACCAAATCCATGGTTGTTTAGGGAGTCTGGCTCAGGACAGACATAACGATTTAACTGCCTGTTAGACACCAGCAATTCGGTGCTGCTGCTGTCAGTCACACAACTCCCTCAGGATGGTGGGAGACATTGCTCCCATTTTGTGGGAAGAGATGGTTTGGGAAAAACAGTGGGACCTTAGATATTAGATATTGGGAAGAAATTTTTTACTGTGAGCATCTTGAAGCACTGAAACAGGTTTGCCCAGAGAAGCTGTGGATTTCCCAACCCTAGAAGTGTTCAAGGCCAGGTTGGATGGGGCTTTGAGCCACCTGGGCTAGTGGAAGGTGTCTCTGCTCATGGTGGAATGGTTGGAATTGGATGATCTTTAATGTCCCTTCCAACCCAAACCATTTCATGATTCTGTGAACTTTATGCCAGAAAGCTTGGTGCCCAGGTATTGTGGTACTTACCAGTAAACACTGCAGTGGTTTTGACTCACTGGGGAGTTTTGATGTTTATTCCTTCTTTCAGAGTAAAACAGGAGCGCTTGAAGGCCCAGAAGTGGATGGATTTGTCAAAGACATGATGGAACTGGTCAAGGTATCTTCGTGGCTATATTTGTTAGTACTCTGTATTTCCTAAAGATCAGTGCTTTTGGAAAGGCTATGTACGCAGAGACACTAGTAAGAACATAGAGTCAAATTTTAGTTTGATCACCAGCAGAAGGCAATGTCGCCATCTCAGTATGTATACTGTAAAGCATTTCACTGTATCACAGAAATTCTGCCTCACAAATTAATATAGCTTCCTTCAGCAACTCTATTTTTAAAAGGTCCATTCCAGTTCATACTTTGAATTAGACAGGTGTTACAGCATGACATGATATGGATGGGTCATCACAATTTCTTCTGTTTTCCTTGTGGATGTGGTTCTCACCAGAATGACCTCATGGTTCATTAGTTCATCTCAGGGCTACATTTGAAAATTACTTGAGGTCTGTCTGCAATCAAGAATACCATATCTAGTGTGTCTCTTCAGCTCCTGATGGACAGAACAGTCTGTCTTCAATGGATTATCTTAAGTTTCCTGATGCAGTGCAAGATAGAGCTTTTGACCCAAACAGAATCTGATCTTTAGCTTCCTTTAAGCCTGAGCTGTTGCATTTCCACACAATGTGAGATATCTGTGCTGCCATGTCCATTCAGGAGAGAGCAGAGAAGGGCAGCTGCATGCTGATGGCTGCATGTGTGTGTCCTGGCCATGCAATGTGCAGGAAAGGGTGTGGGGATGGGAAGGAGGCTGGATTTGTGCTGTGTGTGAGTGTGTGTAAAGAAGGGAAATTTGTACTTTGCCTAAGGGCCTTCATCAGCATTGTCCTTGGACACCACAAGCTGTGCATGTGAATTTGATCCCCTCTTGAGAGTGTGGGAAGCAGAGCAAGCAGTACAGCATTAGGAGCATACAGAAACTGTAGCCTGTAAAATGTGTCTTCAACATTAACTTGATCCACAGAAGGTATTTTTACATTGCTGACTAGCTTGTAAAATAGCAGTATGCTGACAGAAATGTCACATTAGTTCTTGTGCAGCAGGTTTGAGAGAGGAAACCAGATAAAAGCACAGGTCTGGTAGAGCAGGGATCTGCATTGCACAACTTTCTGAAGTTTTCTTTTATATGGCCTTGACTGAGCACAAAACTCATGGTGCATTTCCATACAGTCACTTACAGTTCCATGCACCTTCTACTTTTTCAGGGCACCCTTTCCCCATCTTCTGTTTGCTTCCCCATGGCATATGAGATGATGTGGGGCCTTTTGGTCACTCTTCCTTGGGTGGTTTTCCCAGTTGCTGCATGGTGGGCTGCTTTACTAGCTGGGGAAATCCAGAGCCATTTTCTCTCTCAGCATTCTTTTTCTCTTTGCCTGCAGCCCAGCATTAGTGGGGTAGACCTGGACAAGTTCCGCCAGATCCTGCTCAACCACTGCGATGTGAACAAGGATGGGAAAATTCAGAAATCTGAACTAGCTTTGTGTCTTGGGCTGAAAATTAACCCATAGCTGGGTTGTGGTTGTGGTTGTGTTTCCCTTGAAAGATTTCCCTGCTGCTCCCCATAGAAGTGTGTTCTGTGCTGCTGTGGGAGTGGTGGGGAGCTGAGGCACCACGCTGCCAGGCTGGAGAGTGGGATTTACATGGCGGCCTCCTCACTCCACCCACTCCTTTGTGATGTTCACTTGCTGCTGCCTCTTGTGGGTCTCCCTAGCAATGTCTACTCAGAGGACAGGTTGCTGTTATTCTCATGAAATGCTGCCCTGCCCATTCTCCCAGGATAGAAACAAGCATCTGCTCAAAAACATCCCCTCAGTGCTTTCAGAGTGCAGCTACTAGGTGTTTCTGATGGTCACTTTGTATGTGTGAAGTCATTCCTTTGGTGAACATTGTGCCTCATGCATTTAAAATATTGGATGGATGACAGTGTATTTGTGCAGAAATAAAATGGTAATTACAGAAATTCAGTAACATCAAAGTTTATGTGTTATGTACAGAAAGACATCTGCCACAGGCTGGCAGACTGTACAGAGCAGCCTTTTATGTAGTGATGCCTGTCAGTTGTGGGGTTCAAATCTGCAATGAAATGTGGTAGATCCTTCCCATGGGGAAACCACACACACCATGTCACCCTCACACATGTCACAGTCAGGATGAAGTCACAGAGTAACATCACTTCTGGAGGACACTTCTCTTCTGATCCAAACTGAAATAATCTACAAGGTTTCAATAAACTGGAAGGACAGAAGCCTGATGAGAGCAAAGCTCCAACACATGCTTGACTTTTTTTCAATTCCATAGGAGTTGGTAGATACTTGTAACCGTTATTGAACTTAAAGCTTCCTATCACTCCTGGACCATAAGTGTAGACCCAGAGCCAATGGCAACAGCATCCTTTGTGCCACATATTTCCCTATCCCAAAGGCTTTGACTGAATATTCAGAAAGTGTCATGCCTACACTATCATGCCCAAATAATTCTTCATTTCCCAAGAGAAAATTGTGGAGGAGGGGTTGTTAGCAAAAATTCCTCACATTTCACAATTTCTGTCTCCTACATATGACAGATCCACACTTGACACTACTAGGGCCTTTCTGGTTATGTTTTCTGCACCAGGAAGAACAATGAAACTTTCCCATTATACTCAGTTTTGTAAAGATTAATCAGAGGTTGCCTTCAGTCAGCATGAATAGAGATGTAAACATGGATTACATAAAGCTCTTAAGAACATACTCCACTTATGCATATTTTCTATTTTCATTGATGATAATCTCACAGAACCAAAAAGTGCTAAGTGCTTGTTTAGCCCCAGCACAGAGCCAGGCCCTTAAATTCTGAAACTGCTTTTTATCACCATGGCAGCAACACAAATCACAACCACAATAACAGAGCCTTACAATAGTTAAAAAAACCCATAAACAAGGAATCAGGCCTTAGCATTAACTCCTCAAGCCAGTAGGGTTGCAGTTTTACTCATGGATGCTCACAGCCATCTAAGGAAAGAGCTGTGGTCAGGAGTGCAGGACCACCAGCAGAGAAATCTCCCACACTGCTGTTTATCAGACATGCTTTATCACAGTCTTTGAACAACTTGTAACAAATCTAGCAGAGTAAAACAGCTATTGTTTTATTGTACCTCAAGTAGGATGTAGGATGTGACTGAACAGCGTAGGGTTATGCCTTTAAGTATATTCTTGTTTCTCTCTCTTCCTTCAGTCTATATCATTCTAATTGTTATTCTTCTTTTCTCAAACTACATTTTTTTATTCCTTTGGACATGGGAGATATTTATGTACCATCCCCTTTGATATATTTCCACATATAGATGTAGGGTATTTTTGCTCTTTGTATTTCCCAGGGATGGCAGGTGTATTTTTTGTTTCCTTATCTGTTTAATTCTACTTATATCAGTAGAACTGTTTCTTATTTATTGAAGTATAAATTGAAGCATATCCCGTCCTGCCTCACCAAAACTACATCAACTCTTAACCTAAAGGGAAACCTTTAATTTATTTTTAAAGACTTGATATAACCACAGGTCTCATTTCAAGAATTATAAAACACTTCCTCTTAATTAAACCCCTATGCTTTTCACATCCTCTACAGCCAATAGTTTTTATTCAACAGACACTGAGCAGTTATGAATTTGAGATGTCAGTGTCACAATGTATTTTGCTTCTTTTGTACGAGTCTGGGATTTATTTTTTTTTTAAATACTGATTTGGACACAGGCTTCACACAACTAGTTTTACTAGCTTTTATGAGTGAGTGCATAGGCTCCAGTAAGTGAATTTAAAAGAGTATTTTACAAAACATTAGCATGAAGTAATTTGTAATCATAGATTAAAAGGTTATCTATAAAACTCAGAGAATGAGGCTTCTTTTTTTTTCTAGTTAGTTAGTTTTCCATTCCCACGAGAGTTTGTTTTTTAATTGTGTCCTGCCAGAAAGCAGAGAGCAGGAAGACAGACATACGTACTGTCTTGTTTGCAAGGACCATAAGGGAGCGCCGTATCCCAGTGGGACTACAGCCTCGGTGAGCTGCAGATCCCCTCCAAGCAAAACCAAATGTGAGGTGCAATGGGATTTGAACCCACATTGCAAAGGGCAGAGAGGCAATCACTAGTGAGACATTTTATAAACCTGTAGCCTCTGAAAGTCAACATAAAGGCAGGACACAGTCAGTTTGAGACTTCTTGCAGAGAAGACCTGTTCCTTGCAGAGCTTTTTTTTGGTTTTGGGTTTGTTTTTCTCAATTATTATTTTCACTTCAATAGTAAATGATCTACCAGGTCCTTTGGTCTCAGGCTCTGGTAATATCAACCTTTTAGGTTCCTGTAGATATACAGCTGGGCAATGCATCTGATAAAGTATAGCTGTTTTCCATTTTGCAAATTTGAAGGGTACTTCTATGTACTCCTATGTACAAAATACAAGATAATATTTCACATTTAAAGGGTTACACAAAAAATACTTGTTTTGCATTAGATATATGAAAACAGCAACACTTTCCATGGTTATCACTCACTTTTTAGGAGGCTACGTTGTGATAACTAGTATTTGAAAGCAGAAAGTGAATAAAAATCTTTACAAATATAGTTTTCCCTTGGTATTTTCATGTTTTTCATCAGAAAACTAAGGTTAAGGGATTCATGGTTTTCTATCTCTTCATAGTATGCAAATCTACTGAAATAAACTTCTAACTGACTCATCATATTTCATAGATGTATTTCCAAAGCACATTTAGCAGCCACAGGTTTAGTGGTCCATATGCACGATTCTCCCAAATGTGCATTTTTATGGTTGGTTTTCTTCCTTTACTTGTTTAATGGGCAGACTGCTAGATCTGGACATCAATGTGTGAATTTCCTCAGAACAAAGCTGTTTCTTTGCTTCCCTTTTCACTGTGAGTTGTATGAGATCATTCCCTGCACTCCTGTCATGCTACCTGCTTGTCTTGGCCCTTCTCATTTTTGGTATGTGACATAACTTTTATCTGGATGACTTGACACGACACCTTTGTTCAGGAAAAGCTGGCTCTGACAGCTTCAATTGACTATGTAGAACTGATACCCATGAAAAATTAACATTTATAGGCTTTTAAAGTCAAATCCATCCTTTGTTTAACTTCATTGGTTCTACTGGAAATTAAGGTCTCTTTTCTTCCATCATTTTGAAACTCAACACAGTCTTTGCTTGTCCCAAACCATCATGACAGGGACTTGCCACTGGAAGCCCCCATTTTCCTGAGTCAGCCTCACACCCCAAATGGCTCATGTGCCAGTTGTGCCTTGGTCTGTGCAATTTTCCCCCAAGAAAATGAACCCACATATACATGCTTACCTCATTCCCAGTCTGAACACAATTCCAGCAATATCACATCACTGACACACAAATTGGAAACAAATGAGATGTTTAGGAATTGTAGCATTTAAATTTCATCAGTGCTTTATTTTCAGATTCTCAAAAAATAATTATCTCTCTTTGTTCTCACAATTTTGCTTTAAATAACAGTGTGAAGCTGCCTGCACATCTTACAAAAACTGCTCTTTATTCCAATTGAAAGCTTAGAATTGATCATCAGTCCAAAAAAGAGGTTCAGAGCAAAGGAAACCAACACAGTATTTTGATTAATCTCCTTTTCTATTTTCTGGTAAGAGAATAGTGTCAATATTAATGAAAACAATTGTGATTAATGCAGTCAGCAAGACTATCAGAGAATCTTCCACCACATTATAATAGGAACCCATCACTAGAAACACCTTAATTACAGCTATTATCTCTTGAAATGTCTGAGTAACTCTTAACATTGATCTGATTTGAAATAGAAAGTTCCCATTATGTAGTGAGATGTTAAACAGGGCTTTGCTGTGTAATTACATGGGGTAAAGTAACTATGAAACTGGATTTTGTATGAGGGCTACACTGACAGCTAATGAAAAGATCTCATTTTCTGGCACCTGTATTTTCAGTATTTCCATGGTGAATTGAGTCTCATTTTAAGTAACATTTTCACATGGGAGAAGAGGAGTAAAGAATGCGGTTATGACCACTATGAGAGAAAATAAGGGAACCATTTGTTAATGCCAAGAGACATCTACAGGGAGCTCCAACTGGGTCCCAGAGGTAAAAAAATTTCCCTGCCCTCTCTTTCATAGCTTGAAATCACTGATTTTCACAAACTTTTCCATGGTAAAGCATCCCTGCTTGCTGCCTGCTGTATGCTTAGCCTTTACACTGGCTTCAGGCACTTCAATTTACTCCTTCAAAGTTGTTCTCATCCATAAAAATCCACCCTGCAGGTGTGCTGGACACCTTGCATGGATGATGACAGAACCAGAGTGGATGTCTCTGCCTGGAAAAAATGTTCAGCACAGTAGCACACACAGTGGACAAATGTTCAGGCTGCATCTCTGATATCTGGCATCTCTTTAGATGAGCTGTTTCTGGAAAAAAATTAGTTTGAGTGGATTTTAGGGAGGCACCACAGCTCATGAGAGATAATATCATTAGGCAACATGTCTAGAGAATGGGTGTCTGCTCCAGGCTCAGAGAGACCTGGTTTAGGGTTTCTGCTCTCCCCAGCATCATGGCTGTGAATCTGAAATGTTTTCAACCTGCTCAGTCTTACCAGGGGAGGGCTTCTGTTGTGGATGATGAGAGCACAAAACCACATATTCCAAAGGAGTCATTTTGGTTTGGAAGTGTACTTTCAAGGGATATATTCACAATAACAGCCATCATGTTCCAACTAAAGGAGACCTGAAGGTTCCAGTGCCCACATGCAGTGTGAGGGACTGCATGGGTTGTGCTTTACTCTTAGCCTGGTCAGCCCTTTGAGGTCATCTTGTATTAGACCCTGGATTCAAAACCCAGGGAAGGATCTCCAGAGGAAATACAGGGAATTTAAGCCCTAAAATAATTTTCAATCCAGCTGCGGCCTGCATCCCTGCACAGTAATAT